CCCGTGTAGGCAAACAACAGGAAATATGGCCTGACGTATTGGGAAAACATGGAATGGGAAACGTAAATAGCAATGGTGAACGCTTATTAACAACATGCGCAGAGTATAATCTTTGCATCACCAATACGTGGTTCATGTTGAAGGACAAGTTAAAGGTACCTGGAAACATCCTAGATACGGCCACTGGCATCAATTGGACCACATAATCGTTCGAAGAACGCATCTAAAAGATGTTAGGCTAACAAAAGCTAGAATAGATGCCGAATGCGGCACTGACCACCGACTTTTAATTTCAAAAATGAAAATCCAGTTAAAACCAAAACATCCACGCTGTAAAAAGCAAAACAACATGACCAGATTGAACGTACGGGGTCTAGCAAAGACTACTAGCAAGCAATTATAATCCCCACCATGTTATATGGGAGCGAAACCTGGGTGCCTTACCGCCGACACATGAACGCATTAAACAAGTTGCAACAGAGACACCTTAGACAACTCTTAAGAGTCCGGTGGTTCCATCATGTCTCAAACGTATCGATCCTTGAAAAAGCTAACTGCGAAAGTATTGAAGTCATGGTCACAAAATCCCGCTTAAGATGGGCTGGTCACGTATGCAGAATGCAAGAAAACCGTATACCAAAATCTCTGCTTTACGGTGAGCTTGTAGACGGTAAGAGGAGGCCGGGTGGACAACTGAAAAGATACAAGGACATTTTCCACGAAAATTTAAAGGGAATTAACATGCAGAATGAGTGGGAAAAAGCAGCTCACAATAGAACTCAATGGAGAAGGGTTGTAAACTGAGTTAACAGCGGCAACCAAATAGTAAAGAGGCAACAAAGCAATGAGATTTGTGAATGTCCGGAGTGCGATAGGCAGATAACATCACGTATCGGGCTTTTCAGTCACAGAAAAGCTCATGAAAGAAAACCCCTTACGTGAGCATCTTCTTTATGTGTGTCGAATACTCGTCAGCGAGTAACGGCTGTATGTATGTATGTATGTATGTATGTTTTACGTCAAGCAGTTTAAGTAGAATCGTGGTTAATCAATTACCTAACTTTTTGGAACACCCTGTAAGATTTTTTAAAAAATTTCAAAATATCTGAAAAAACAAAATAAATTATACGTGTCCAAGCGTTTTCCCGAAAGACTCACCGTTTTTTAAATAACAAATATTGTAATATTTGAGGAGCGTTTTCACCCTCTTGGAATTTGAGATTCGAGAAACCCCTACTTATCGAACCTCTACACCTCACAGTCAATCCGTTTGCCAAAAATCAACTTTAAACGTCAAGCAGTTTAAGCAGAATCGTGATTACTCAATGGTCATATTTTCTGAAACACCCTGTATAAATTTTTAAAAAATTTTAAAATATGTAAAACAACAAAATAAAATATACGTGTTTAAGAGTTTTTCCGAAAAACTCACCGGTTTTTAAATAAAAAATATTCTAATATTTGAGTGGTTTCACCGCTTAGAATCCGAGTTTCGAAAAATCCCTTCTTATCAAACCTCTACACTCTAAAGTCAATCCGTTTTCCAAAAATCAGTTTTTTACGTCAAGCGCTTTAAGCAGGATAGTGATTAATCAATGACCAGATTTTTCGAAACACCCTGTATCCATTTTTAAAAAATCTTAAAATATGTAAAAAACAAAACAAAATATACGTGTTTAAGAGTTTTGTCGGAAACTTGACCGTTTTTAAAATAAAAAATATTGTAATATTTGAGGGGTGGTTTCACCGCCTTGGAACTCGAATTTCGAAAAATCCCTTCTTATTGAACCTCTACACCCTAGAATCAACTTGTATGCCAAAACTGAGCTTCTTACGTTGAGCGGTTTGAGCAGGATCGTGATTAATCAGTGAGTCAGTCACTTAAGGATTTTATACCTATATTAATAGTATAGATGTCCACGGATTGTCTTTACAAGAGGAAATACTTTTTTATTATTGACATTTTCAGAAAAATTCATTCTTCATAAAAAAATTGCTTGTTCTAAAATGGTTAATCTCGTTTATACTTTTACAAATTTTCATACCGTTTTAGAGAAAATTAAAAAAAAGTCCTAAAAATCAAAAGGTTTCTATGGTAATATAATTTCGTTTATTTTTTTCTAAATTTTCGGTATGGGAATTTGGAAAAGTATAAACATTTTAGGACAAGAATTTTTTTTTATGAAGAATGCATTTTTCTCAAAATGTAAATAATAAAAAAGTTGTTCCTCTTGTAAAGACAATCCGGGGATATACTGTAGAGTAGTGTAGACCATATCATTAAAAACTACAAATAAAAATTTATTGAATTTTAGAACGATAGGAACGAACATTTCAAGCTGAAAACATGACATGGACCTTTTTTCAAAATGTAAAGAATGATTTCTCAGTGACTCAATACTTTATTCTACATTGCAAGGTGATTTAAAAAAGGCCATTGTTAAAAACTTGTGCGTTCTGTAGAACCAGACCTGCGAAACAATAGAATTACGGGAAACCTTATTCAGGACTGTAATTAACTTCCGGGCATATCCTACCGGATGCGTGTACTTTTTTATGAAGGGTCAACTTCCACACCGTTCAGTTATCTAATACTCGAAACAAGTGAGTAACTGCGTGTGGCGATTTTCACTCGTGATTATGTTAAGTGCACTCGAATATGAGACGCTAGACATTCATTTTCTATACAATAGGGATATGCAGTAGGTGGTTTCATTCTACTGCTTAGAGAGTATTGAATTACGTACTTGATTTTCTTTACTCTATTTTTTAAGAGGGCCTTTGGAAAGTAATTTACTGATAAAAATAAAAAAGACGCATTGGGGCAAATACAAGACAATAAAAAATTACATCAGAGTGGCTTTTGAAATGACAACTGTCAGAAATTAATATTTAATTGGAAAAGGGTAAAGCTTCATTCAGAACCTGGAAATTAGTGGTTTCAATTAGCGTAGAAGTTTGTTCCTTTAATTTCAATGTAAGCATTCAGAACGTCAAAATTAGTGGTAGTACTTTTCAATTATTGGAAAAAGTTAACAAACTTTTGACTTTTCCACCAATTATACTTCAAAATTTGCGAGAAATGTCATTTTGGCCTTTGATTATTATCACCCGTCAAGAAAAATTTTGGTTAGAAATCAAAAGTTTATTGTTTTATAAGCTAAATATTATGCTTTCTCTATGGATACAACCTTTGAATAAGGAGACTAAGGAAGGAGCATAATGCTATCCATGTATTCCTGCATGGTGGGCGGAAAAAGCACTCTAGGGTGGGGATCCTTGACAGTTCTGTTTGACGATTCATTTGACACATTTGAATTTGATTTCAAATTTTATGGATTTGTCAGTCTTTACGGAGCTTATTTTATGTTATTTAATATTTATTCTACTACTGATAGTTGTATAAAGGTAGTAAATCTAGATGGAAATTGTGGCAGAACTTAAATTAACAGTGACACTATCGCGATTTATCGAAAAAGACTCTAAAATAGTTGGTTGTTGTGCGGTAGATCTCGGCAAAAATCGAGTGAAATAATGGAACAACTTTTCGCTAGTAAGTGACTATATAATATACATACGTGTAGTAAACCGATCATTTATGAAATTCACTTAAATTAACTAATTATATATTTTTTCTTGCATTTTTGCTTTTATTTACTACTTGTCAAAGATTAGTTGTCAAAGAATTTAGATACGTCAATTTGATTTACCAGATTTACCTGCTTCAGTCGCGTATCGGATGTTTGTGTTAATAAATAATTATTATAACTTATCTATTTTTATTAGAATTATATATTTTTGGAACAATTTTAATAACTACCAACATTTATTCACAACGTCAAATACGAGTAAAACAACATATCCCAGAGTCTACCCCACGTCTACCCTACATCATAGTTTTACATTTTTTAAATAAAATTAGAACGGCACTGATAAACCGGAATTTAAGTCGGCCATATTTGAGGCCCATCGCGGTGGACCTAAGATTTTTGATATGCTCCTTCCTTATACAACAGACTACCGCAAACTGTCGCTAGGATATTTTATTAATTTTAATTGCGTTTTTTAGACATTGTGAATGATCGTATAAAGTTTAATTGAAACCACTAATTTATTCCACTAATTGCGACGTTCTGATTGAAGCTTTAGTAGAAAAAGTTAAGAAACTGTTAATTTTTGAACTGTTTTCTGTTCAAAAATCTTTTTCAATTCTGTTTGAAGTTTTACACTTTCGAGTCAAATATACTTACAAGATTTTTTGGCATAGCGGCATAGCTGTTAACAAAAAAAACATTAGAATCTAACTTGATTCAAATTTGAATGTTTCAATTGAAAATTATTTCCAGGCGTATTTTTTAAACATTTTCTATTTTCTGTAATTTCCGCTTTAAGTAGGAGCGATTAGTGAGTAAAATAAAACACTAGTTCGTCAACAATACACCAAAACATTTTACTTTTAGAACGAGACACGCGTTTCGCTAATCACGTTAACATCATCAGCAGATGAATAAGATTAGTTATTTTGGTCTATTTTGCTCAACTAGTCTTTTATTTTTATTGCACTGTTGTAACATCAAAGGTTCCAAACCAAACTATACAGGGTGTCCCGTTTTATGTGGTTTTTCATTTATGAGTAGAGATACTAAGTTGTGGTTTTCACATCACAGAGCTGCTTTTGTATGAAATTAAAAATGCTACACACATATTTATCCTAGCTCTCTTAGTCCGAATTTTAAAATGTGGCATTTTCAGACCCTCTCTTCGTATCTTAGTTATCGTATGACTTATCGAAAAGTTGAAAATGGTGCCCCGTAGAGTTTCTTTATGTAGAATTCAGTGGCTTACCTAGTATTTCACTGGAGCTCTCATTTTCTAAATATAAATCAAAGTTATTATGTACCTACTACGTTTAGGGTACATAATAAATTAGCATCGAATATTAATATATTTATCTATTTTAAGAATATTGTGATATTTACAGTTTATTTTTATTGTTTCAGGGATGCTGCAAAGAAATGAAGCACGTGCACTGGTATAAAGCCATTTTGGCTATTTTAAGCAACCTTCTGCATTTGACATACGGAGGTAAATATTATTAAAATATACTAATTAATGTATACAGGGTTGTTCACCACATACGACACGGAGTATTGTAGCTAAACGATGAGATTTTTACAAATTGTAAGTTTGGGGTTCGTTGAAGGACTATTAGAGCTACAATTTAAAAATATTTTTACAAGATACAGAGTGTCCCAAATAAATAAAAAATATCAAAGTTGTATTTTTTTTAAATGGAACACCCTGTATATTATTACATTTTTAGTTTCTACGATTAAAATAAAGGTAAATTTGATTAAGGTTTATTATACTTAAACTTTACCGTTTTTGAAATATTTTCAATTTTGTGAAATTGTAGTCAAAATTTTAAAGCTTCATTTCTCCAAGGGTATCAATGTTTTTAATACTAAATATTTAATGAAGTTTATTTATTGATCAGTTATTGTGTTGCAATAATAAAAATAATAGTACCTTATACACAGTGTCTAAAAATTTATTTTAAATAATTATTAGCTTCAAACGGCAATAACTTCTTTAATTTAAATGGAATGCCCTATATATTTTAGGAGAATCAGATGCACAATTAAATTGTCTATCAAATTGTATTATACCATTTTTTACCTATCCCTTCAAGTTTTCGTAGAAAATGCATTTTCTTCTAAATTAGACCTCATTTATCAATATATCTATGGAATATTGACATTTTAGATTGTTTTTAAAGCAACAAATGTACAAAATGTACAGACTAGTAATATTATCGTTTTTAGCAAAACGATAATATTACTAGCCCATTTGTATGCAAAAAGAAAACTATTTAAATCTTTATAAAAGGGTATACCATTAATTAAATATAACACCATTATTTCCGCCCATATACTAATTAATGACATACTTAATTGTGTTCGCTAATAAATTATTATAAATAAATGTGGATTTTTGAGTCAGAAATCAATATAATAATAAGTTATCAAATTAAAGCCTTTGTTGTTATAAATAAGCATTTATAAAAAATGAAATATCATTTTTAAGGTGTTACTTTTTATCACACTGTCTAATGCCCATACAAAATTCAGTTTTTTAGTATTTGGAGCAATTATTATTAATCAACGCAGTCAGTTAATGTAGTTTGAATACTGGAATCATATTAATTGATCCTCTTTAACAAATATTTAAACAGTTTTTTTTTATTTTTTAATGAAATAAACGAATTATATCGACAATATTAGTATCTGTACTCTTTAAAAATTTGGGACATCTTTAAAAATAATCTAAAATGTCAATAGTCCATGGGTATATTGATAAATAAGTTCTAAATTACAAGAAAATGCATTTTCTACGGAAACTTAAAGAGATAGGTAAAAAATGGTATAATATAATTTGATAGACAATTAAATTGTGTATCTGATTCTCGTAAAATATACAGGGTGTTCCATTTAAATTAAACAAGTTATTGCCGTTTGAAGCTAATAATTATTTAAAATAAATTTTTAGACACTCTGTATAAGGTAGTATTATTTTTATTATTGCAACACAATAACTGATCAGTAAATAAACTTCATTAAATATTTAGTATAAAAACTTTGATACCCTTGGAGAAATGAAGCCTTAAAAATGTTTACTGCAATTTCACAAAATTGAAAATATTTCAAAAACGGTAAGGTTTAAGTATATTAAACCCTAATCAAATTTAGGTCTAAGTATAATAATAATAAGTAAAAATTTAATAATATACAGGGTGTTCCATTTAAAAAAATACAACTTTGATATTTTTTACTTATTTGGGACACTCTGTATCTTTAAAATTTTTAAAATTTTAAATTATTTTTAAATTGTACCTCTAATAGTACGAAAGCGTAGAGCTGCCATCGCAACATTGGAAAATATTTTTAGCAAAATTTACACTTTTTCTGTAAATTTACAGATTTTCTGTAAATTTACACTTTTCCTGTAAATTTACAGATTTTCTATAAATTTACACTTTTTCTGTTAATTTATGCGTTAGTGGCAACAGTGGTGCGTTATTCTACGAGTAGTTCCCATCGAATTCTGTTCTACGCCAGTTTATTCACAAAAGTCTTTACTAGTAAAGACAGAATTAGGGAACCACTGCGGCAATTAATTGAAGGATTGAAGACATGCGGACTATATGAAAAGATTAAGCAATATCCCAGTATATTCAAAGATATATTTTGTTCTGAAACCACACTCTCTTCAAAAATACTTGAAGAATTATTCCTCATCGTCTATACTGAACCTGGTCTAACATAGTACAGAAAATCGGGTGATCTCTTATTTTAGGGATTATGTATTAAATTTCGAATGTGTATGATATAATAGTATGGCATTTTTTTGTTTAATATGTTTTCTAATATGCTTTTAATCGACCCGGAAAGTATTTTCACCCTTTCCGATGCATTACTGTTTGCAAGAGGATCTGATGGCCTCCACCTCTGGGATGACGTAAACTGTCGTCTGCAAATGATGTAAACTTAACATAACCATCCTCTAGCAGACATGTCAAAATTTCTTTGTGACTTAATCCGATATGAAAGTAGGTTTTAATGTATTCGTCCATAATCTCTGATGAATATCTGTACTACTTAGGCACAATAGCAACTTAATCAGCGGAGAACAATGCTCACTTGTAACTAACGAGCAGGTCGATGCCGAGACGTCATTCTGCTGGGTAGTAAATTTCGCATGCAATTTACAGAAAAAGTGTAAATTTACAGAAAAAGTGTAAATTTACAGAAAATCTGTAAATTTACAGAAAAAGTGTAAATTTACAGAAAATCTGTAAATTTACAGAAAAAGTGTAAATTTTGCTAAAATTATATTTCATTGTTGCGATGGCAGCTCTACGCTTTCGTATAATAGTCCTTCATCGAACCCAAAACTTACAATTTGTAAAAATCTCATCGTTTAGCTACAATACTCCGTGTCGTATGTGGTGGACAACCCTGTATAGTTTTTTTATGTTTCTATTGGCAAAAATGTCTAACTAGTATTCGACCAAAGAACAAAACTCTGTTTTTTTTACAGATTTCGAATATGTAGTGAGCAAACCAGAGTCTTTAGTCCTCTCAGCTGGATATGAGACGTCCCTGTCTTGCGAGATGAATATACCACCTGATAGATTTCAATGGAAGTTCTATCCATTAGATAATCCGTACGATAGCCAGGCGCTGATTAATTTGAGTAGTGATAATTTCAAAATTATTCCTCAAGATAGATATAGGGTTAACAAGAAGAAGTCAGAATTACAAATAGAGGTAAGATTTTATTAAAGTACCTTATTTAAAATTAAAAAATCAAAGTCGACGAATACGCCGAGGCTTGGGTCTTTCCGTGTCCTTATTTACTGGACTATACATATATTTTCGTGAACCATTTTTTAATTATTTTAATTTAATTAATGTAACTGCTACCACATTGGCGTGTGTTGCATCGCCGACCTGGATATACCGGGTGCGTCTCAAAAGTGGCTCACCCCTATAACTTTTTTATTTTTCCAGATTACAGAACGAGGTTTGGTATGTTAGTATATGACATAAATTAGGATTGATTGAAGTATTCAATTGTTTTCGGTCACTTCCTGTTAATTTTTTTAAATCAGAGTACATTTTGACATTATCTTTTTGCAGTACTAAAATCCATTATTTACCTATCGTGTGATATTATTTTACAGCTACTCCAGTTTTAAGAATATGTTCGACGAGATGGTATACATACGAGATGGTATACAAACGAGATGGCATACAAATTTTATTAATGGGCGCGTTCAGGGAACACAGCCAGCCGCTGACATTCAGCATAGAATTTCGCTGACCAGCAGCTTACGATATTCCCTAAACGGCACAAAGCAGCAGAAAGAACAAGAAAGAGTACCTGTCTCATGCGCTCTCTGTCTACTATAAAAATTTGAGAGAAATATGAAAAATTCGATCTCTATTTACAACTATTGTCTTTTTCGAACGTTTTAGATTAACCTACTGCTCTGTAACTTTTTTGACAACAAATATCTCCTATTTTTTAAGGATTCGATTAACTACGATTAACTATAAACTTCAACAAACCATAAAAAGTAAACAATAAACTGAGAAAATTAAAGTTATTTTACATTAATTGACCACAGATAAGGAAATAGATTAAGGCTGACTTGTCTCAACCTAAATATTTACCGCTGAGAATTTTGCACAGCGGCTGACTGTTGCTGTTCGTCAGAATAGACCGTTTAGGGAAATCGCTTATTCAGCCACTCAGCCGCTGACCGTCCCTGAACGCGCCCAATGCTAACTTTATTGGTGTATAAAACTCTGGGCACCGAGTATTAACTATAAACTGTGATCTGGGTCTTATTTTGCTGTAACTTGTTTGAATATTAACTATAACCTATAACTGTGCTTGGGTTAATTTTCTCCCAATTTTTCCTTTACTTAACTTCAAAAGACACAAAACACGCAATAACACGAATCAAAATACATCATCTTCCAAAACGCAGTGTATTTGACATAATTTGACAAAAAATTATAACCTATAATTTGACTTTGACAAGCCTCAAAAATCTAAACGCGAGTTCATACGCATCTGCGTCCGAGATTCGATCATCGTTCCGTCACTCCAATAATATTTAAAATATGATCTGTCATTTTTGAAATAAACCAATAAAACTGGTTAAAAATAACAAGAGACGACGCATGACAGATTTATATAGTATAAACCCATCAATAGTTAGAAACTGTTTTTAGTAAAATAAATAGATTGGTATGCACGTAATCTGCTTTTTTCTGTCGTCGTCTGTTGAAATCTTACCTGAGAAAAAAAAATTGATAAAAATTAGTGTTTTTAGCACTACCATAACACTCTAGATTAAAATTTAAAATACAATTTGGTTGGTTTGGGTTGGGTTCAAGTTGGAAAATGTCAAGAGTTGGCATACGGTGTGTCATTCTATTCAGAGTGTCATTTTCTATCGAGTAAAGTAAATAAATATCGAGAGTGCCATTTAAAAATCAAAAGTTGTAGTTATTTCCGGTGAAACAGGAAGTGGCCGAAAATAATTGAATACGCCAATCAATCCTAATTTATGTCATATACTAACATACTAAATCTCGTTTTTTTATCTGAAGAAATAAAAAAGTTGTAGGGGTGAGCCACTTTTGATATGCACCCGGTATAGGAAGTCCCATGTACTTAAATTTAAAAAAGGTGAATAAGTTTCCCTCATTTTATTTTACAGAAAAATGATTTGCAACTTTTTAAAGAACTCCTTAAAATGAAGCAAATTGTTCATTTCGAATTATTATACAAATTCGTTCTTGAGTGATGAGAAATGTTATGTCACAATATGACAAATCTATTATGATTTTCTTTAGAGAGATCTGTCAAAAATATTTTTAGTTATATTCTCTATGAAAAGTTACAAAAAGTACACTGTAGACATACGAAAATCTTTTAAAAATGAAATATATTTTGTAGATAAGCAAACAACCCTGCTCCAAAAGAAAAAAAAACTCTATAAAATAGGAAAAGTAAAAATGTCTGTTTTTTTAGCTAAGGGACACTGAAGGAACCGGTGACTACCAGTGTCTAGCCTATTATGGAGCTTCCGTGGTGGCTTCAGTACCATGGCGGATAACGTTGGAACGAATGGAGAAAAGCCCCCCGCAAGAAAACACTAGCGCGTCAGTGCACGTCGGTAACACTGTCAGCTGGAAATGCGAAGCCCCCAAATCGAATCCCGAGGCGTATATAGATTACAAATATGGAAACAAATATATAACGTCGCCGTACAAAAATCTGGCAGTGAAAAGTATGATTTTAACGAACGTGACAGTTTACAACTCTGGAACATATAGGTAAGTGTCACACAGTGTCACTCAACTGTCACTGTGAGTGATTCTCCCGTTGGGCAGACTCATAGACAAACAAATAAAAAGAGACTGACAAATCTCATGGTAAAGAGTGGGACCGCGTTCCCGTAGCGCAACTCAGAATAACAATTTTGAAACCAATTAGCAGGACCATGGCAGGACGTACGTCTTTATTGCTATCTTTCTTTATTATGTGTGCTTTATATGAAAAAGAAAGAGATAGGTATAAAACGTATCGTAAGACATTATCGCACATTCTGGCTGGCGGAAAACTTAAATTAACCTTTATTAGTAGTATTCTTTCATTCTGAAACTGAAAATGTTCACTTAAACTGATTTATTCCCTATACCACGTAAAGGGAACGTGGTGTAGAGAATAAATCAGTTTAAATGAAAATTTGGCACTTTCTTTCAGAACGACAGAATACTACTATTATAAGGGAAATTATAAAAAAAGCAAAAATTGTACTGTTTTATAAACATATTTATTTATACATAAAAATAAATAAACTTTTTATAATATAATAACAAAAAATAATAGTGTTTATTCCACCCACCTACCAATTTTAAATGCAGAAGAACTGACTGTTGCAGGAAACGATCGGCCAATTTTTTTAAAGGGCATTAAAAATCTCATTTTCGAAAAAACTGCCTAATTGCAATAACAAAGTGAATATCCAAGCAAAGAAGACTTTACGAGAATCATGATCCTGAACCATTTTCAAGTCCAGTTTTAATTCTAAAACAAAAGTAAAATAGGTATATTAATAAAGTTTCTGGTTACTATAAACCAGCTATAAACTACCTACCCAAAAAATTTTAAAAAATAATTGTATTAATTTGTTATGTTAAGAGAGGTTCGAAATATTTATGACACTACTACTTCTACTTTTTTCTTAATAAGATGATAAATATAACTACTTACTTTTATTTTACCGGGTGTCTTTAAGATGTCTATCAGAGAAAGGGGGCATATAAAAAATAGATGATACTGGGTCCTGCAGCAAATAAAATAACAAATAGTATAACCGAAAATTATATGTAACAAAATATAAATACCTATATGGACCAAAGGAATTTGTTCCCTATCCATACTCATAAGTCAATAAAATGAAGAGTTTAGAAAAAAATGTAAATCACCAAAAGAAAAATTAACAAACATGACGAATTGTCATGATGTTGTCATCTTGGTTGTCATGATGACGAAAACGAAAGGCGATTGTTCTAATTTCTTTTTAGAAATTACGTTTTATATGGTTGCTTATTTCTCTCTTGTTATATTAGAATGAGATAGTGGGCCCAATAGACGCAATGCGCAGATCAACATAAATAGAACGAAATTTTGCGTTCTGAGTTGCGCTACGGGAACGTTGTCCCTCTCTTTGCCATTTAATTTGCCAGTCTCTTTTTATTAGTTTGTCTATGGGCAGCCTATAGTTAAAACTTAACATTTCTTTCAGCTGTCTTGCAAATAATGGTTTTGCTCTAAAAGAACTGAATCCAGTCTTGAGGCTGGAAGTTGTGAGAAATGGTCCACCACGTGCCCCAACTTTTATTATTGAACCGAAGAAAGAATATACTGTTACTAAAGGTATATAATATATTATAGTTACCTCTCCTCTGCCTTAAACCGATCCCACACGATGTGGTAAACATCTCCCAACGTTGAACACGTGAACAAATTTATTTATTATTTATTTATTTACTTCTATTTATTTATCTATTTCTAGTCAGAACACAAACAGGACAAGTCTCAAAATTAGTGTCCAGAGTTTACATATCTAAATACCAATAACAATAATAATAAGCAATTTTAAAATGATATTACTTTTTTCTTTTTAAAATTACAATTTTTTTTCTAGTAATAGATACGAACATGGTTGAATTGGGGCACAGTTGCGCCTTGAGATGTTCACCAAGATGCCATCAAAAAAGTTATAAAAATTTCAAGGATTGCTGAGTTTTTTGAAAAAAACGGATTTTTTGGAAAATAAATTTTATTTTTTCCTGTCGTTACTTTTTGGAAAATCAAAAAACTAATTACACATTCTCATAGCCACTTTATTAGGGCTATCTGATAGTATTTTTAGATTTTCAAATTAGCTGATAATTTGTGAGATACAGTGGCCAACTTAATTTTTTTAAATACGGACCTGCATTTTTTATTTCAGATTTTGAAAGAACTCGGTCTCCTGAGTATAACGATATGCCACAATTAATATTTTTTTTGTTTCGGACATTTGAAAATGATTTATTTAAAATAATTTCAAGTCCGGCCCTGTTTTTTTTAAAGATTTAATCTATTCATCGTTACAATATTGATAAGCTTACAAACTTAACAATGCCGAGGGGTAAAACATTGAATACGGAAAATCAAATGCAATAACTAAAGGGGCATTACTTGGCGTCATTTATGATAGTGAAATCAGTACAGTTCAACATTTACAATAAAGAGTACAAAATCCATTCGGAACTATAACAAGAAGTTATGTTCAAAGAGCTATAAATAAGATTGAACAGATTGAACAAAAAATAAATTCGTGCAGTAGGAAGGGTGGTAACCCTTTCGAACATGTAGAGCATTAGAAACTAGTTTATAGAAGTTGATTTATTTATAAGAACTACGATTAATATTATGAATATTATTAGATCGTACACTGAGATTCCAAATTCACAATAAAAAAAGTTAAAAATAAGATCTTTAAAATGCTGACCTGGATATTATTTATTTCAATCTTTGAATTGGCTCGATTTTCCTTATTCAATGTTAATTAGCGCTGATCAATATTGTTGCGATGAATTAAAAGATTAAATTTAAAGATTAAATAATTTAAAACACCAGAGTTGTACTTGAAATTATTTAAAATAATAATTAACTAGTTTTTTTGTTCATTATTATATTTTTTTATCATTATACTCAGGAGGCCGAATTCTTTTAAAACCTGAAATAAAAAATGCAGGTCCGTATTTAAAAAAATTAAGTTGGCCTCTGTATCTCACAAATTATCAGCTAAATTGAAAATCTAAAAGTACTGTCAGATAGCCTTAATAAAGTGGCTATGAGAATGTGTAATTAGTTTTTTGATTTTCCAAAAAGTAACGACAGGAAAAAATAAAATTTATTTTCCAAAAAATCCGGTTTTTTTTTCAAAAAACTCAGCAATCCTTGAAATTTTTATAACTTTTTTGATGGCATCTTGGTGAACATCTCAAGGCGCAACTGTGCCACAATTCAACCATCTTCGTATCTATTACGGTTTCCGAGATACCAATGCTCGTACCTCGAATTTGTAGCACCCTGTATATCGGGTGCGTCTTAAAAGTGTGGCTCACCTTTATAACTTTTTTATTTTTTCAGATAAAAAAACGAGATTTGATATGTTAGTATATGACATAAATTGGGATTAATTGATGTATTCAATTGATTTCAGCCACTTCCTGTTTAACGGAAATGACTACAACTTTTGATTTTTAAATGGCACCCTCGGTATTTTTCGACTTTATTCGATAGAAAATAACACTCTGAATAGAATGACATATCATATGTCAACTTTTGACATTTTCGCATATGGTTTATTTGAAATTATAACTTGCGGTTCTTTACGTGTGTGATATCAAATTATTCGTAAAAAAAATGCTTTTCCAAATATGCTAATGAGCCACCCTCATTCCATTTGAAAAAATTGAAATATGATTAAAAATATGATTTGGGCATTTTTTAATCGGCCAGGACAAGACACTAAAAACATTAGACGATCAAATCTATTTTTCCGAGGCTCCTTGATTAAGAATTAGTATTTTTAACATAGAGCCATGGCACTCTAGATTCAGATTTAAAATACGATTTTTTATTAAGCGAGTATGTCAAAAGTTAACATATGATACGTCATTCTATTCAGAATATCATTTTCTATCGAATAAAGTAAAAATATTTTTAAGCTGTAGCTGTATTTTAGTTGTTAGCTAATTCGGTGGCTTTTAAAAATAAAAGCTACCGAATTGTTTCTGTATTTGTATCCCTTTTAGTGCCGTAACCATAGAGTAAAGCCGTAACTATGGTAATATCAGAGATTAAGAAATTATACCGTGGGAAAATTTACGGAAGAGGCAGTTCTAAAACGTTTTCTAAAATGTACAGGAAAATTTAAAAGAAAATGCACTATTTTTAAATATACTACCCCTAAAAATATTTACATTTATTTAAGACTCACCCTGTATAATATTTTCTAATCTGTATCTACAATAAATTAATATAGATAATAAAAAAATCGGTAATGGATAATACAATAAAATTAACGATGTACTTAAACAGCCGTTAAACGGTAGCCTACTAAAATGCCATTATTAGATATTGTGACGTCGTTCATGTCGGCGGAAAGTAATGCCTAGCCTTAAGCATTTTGCAAGAGCACCTTTGGGTCAGTGGCTAAGGCTATCGCTTCGTAAGCGAATGGTCCGTGGTTCAATTCTCACGCCGACCAATACTTTTTTATATTTTTTTTGCTTATAGAGTGATCTTATTGCATTGGTTTCACTCTTTTTGGTTGGATTGGTTTAGTTATTTGGCGGGTTGGTTAGCGTGGTTATTTGGAGGGTGTTAATTCATTGGTTAGTTGGTTATTTGGTGGGGTTGGTTGATTTTTACTAATTTATATTTGTTTTTTATATTTTTTGTCAGTGTCGAGGTTAGTTGCGTTGGTTAAGTTGGTTATTTGGTGGGGTGGATAGCGTTGGTTAGTCCTTATAAAATTCATAAAGCCGCCGAGTGCGTCACATCAACTACGTCATACCTATTAACGCCATTTTAGTAAGCTACCGTTTAACGGCAGTTTAAGTACAGCCTAAAATTAATATTAACATTTAAAAAATAGGTATTTAAATTGAATTCTGGTTGTCTTGACTGATTTAAGTCATTTTACTGACTTAACTTGCAGATTATCATAATTTAAGTAAAAAAGACTTAAATAATGTTATATTGATTTAAGTTGACTTGAAAGAAAATGGCATTTGAACTTTATATCGAAATTGACTTAAGACTTAACTCATTTTGATTTTAGAAATGACGTAAGACTTAAAAATCTTAAATATCAGTCTTTTTAAAACTGACTTGTTGCAGCCCTGACTACCCTTTAATTGTATTTCTATTGAGTTAAACATAACATTAATTTTCCAATAGAAGTAATAATATGCTTATTAAATTCTAGGTTCATCGGTATTCCTAGATTGTTCGGCGGTAGGTCAACCGGTGCCCAAAGTCTCCTGGTCCAAGAAACAGTCTGTTTTACCATCAAATCGATCAGAAGAGAACGGAGGTCTTATAATACGAAACATCACCTCAAGAGACGATGGAGTCTATGTCTGTACCCATACCAACGCGTATGGTACATTGACTCACGAAATTACTGTTAAATATAACGAAGAACCGACCATCGATTGTTCTATGAACATGACTGACGTGAACCAAGGCGAGAACATGGATATTGAATGTATCGTTAAAGGTAAATCTGACCAGTTTTAAATATCATGTATATACAGTGTTATTCAAATTCTCCCCAACCATTAGAATATAGAATACTATAGTAGAAGTAGATACGAGGATGGTTAAATTAGGGCGAAGTACTGTGCCTTAAAAGGTGCCTAAAAATATGCCGTTTAGGAACATTTAATATTCCGAATAGTTCCGGAGCTGTTCGAGAAAAACCGAAATTTGAAGATTTTGATCATTGCCTGGAAACTTCTATCGGACAAAAGTAGAGCAACACTTCGAGAAAGATTTGCAAATCGCGATTTTTTATATGCATGCATGATAATATATATAAATACAATAAATTTAAAAACTACGAAGTAGGCTATGAGTATCCATGACAGCAAGAATTTTTACTACCAAAACAAATGAATTTATTTTGACATTTAGTTTTAAAAGCTTAATAGTAACGCGTCAAAAGTAGAGCCACATAATTCATTCCAAAGAAGGGTTTTAGCAAAAGTAAAGGCCAAAATAATTGTGCAAGGTTTATTTTATTTTTTTTTAAACATTTCTATGCTGGGTTAGTCATGCCAAGAGGAATTCCAATTTCAAAAGACTTGAAGCAAAGAGTTGTGAATGCATTCATGAAAGGTAACAAACAAGCCGATATTTCAAGACAGTTTGTGTTACCCCGGTACAGCGTATCTAAAATAATTTGATCGTATAATGACAGGGGACACTTAGAAAAGTTGCCAAAATCGGGAAGGCCGAAGAAAACAACAGTAATGACCGACAGACGCATTAAAAGAATTGCTCAAAATGATTCTTGGAAGTCCGCGTCTAGAATTATTTCCGAAATTCCAAAAATTACGGTTGGTATACGAACAGTACAAAGAAGATTAGTAGATGCAAAGTTATTTAGTAGACGTCCAGCTAAAAAGCCGTTAGTTTCGGAAAGAAATAGAGCAGCAAGGTTGGCAATCGCATGTCGGCATTTAAACTGGACCGTCAATGACTGGAAAAAAGTTCTGTTCAGTGATGAAACGCGCTACAATATATTCAATTCTGATGGAATGAGACGTGTGAGGCGACCAATCAATACACAGTTTAATCCTAAATACGTAACACCTACAATTAAACACGGTAAAGGCAGTGTATTTTTATCGGGTTGTTTCTCATGGAATGGGATAGGCCCTATACGCCTTATTAATGACACGATGGACCGATTTGTTTATAGGGATATTATGCTTCCTTATGCAGAATGGGAAATGCCACTGCGTTTTATTTTCCAATAGGACAACGATCCAAAACACTCTTCACAAGTTGTTCAACAGTGGTTTAGGGAAAATAACGTTCGAGTTTTGCAATGGCCAGCACAATCCCCAGACCTTAACCCCATTAAAAATCTGTGGGAAGAAGTAGAACATCGTATTCGTGCCCAAATGTTTCCAAATAAACAATCCTTGATAGATAAAATTAATGAAGTTTGGACAAATATTCCCGAAAATGTCATTCAGAAGTTGATAGCTTCAATGCCGCGCCGTTGTCAGCAAGTTATTAATAATAATGGATATTGTATCAATTACTACTGTATTACTTTCAATTATTATTGTTTTTAAATGTGTTAAATATTTTTTGTTGAAATAAGACATTACAATATTATATACAATTTGTTGCTCTACTTTTGTCGCCCCCATTCTCATCAATTTTTATAATCATTATTATTTATCGTTTTTAAACTGATTAAAAGTACACCAAAATTTTGTAAAATATTACTTTTAGTGTAAGGATAGTGTGTTAGTAAACATAGCCGAAAATCCAACCTAATAATTTTGCCGTGTTGCTCTACTTTTGTCCGATAGTGTATATCGTCCTATTGCTGCCAAAAGTCACTAACTAACATTTTTCCGAACAACCAAATTCAATCACTAACTATGTTTTGAAGCGGAGAATCGATTGCAAAAGTCATTAACTACGATTTCTGGCTATTTATGTTTTATTTTAATACCGAATAGTTACTAACTATAACATCTTTATGCAATGCAATTCATCTTTAGACGCATTTTTCTCGGAAGAAATAAAAAGTAAGTTAGTGACTTTTGGGAGCAATGGGACGATATGATGAAATTTTGATAAAATAATTTAGTATTAGAATTTAGAATTTAGAATAAGTGGGAGGGGGGTTAATCTCTGCGACCTTAGAGATCTATTGTGTCCCCCTTTCTTGAGTTATAACTCATCATACAGTCCCAGGACTTCCTACGGAGACCCGCGTCCTTCACAGTCGAGGAGTTACGACCCAGGCCGGGTAGACGAAACGGTAGCTTGTGTCGCCTGTTGGGTTTAGAGGTAGGAGGTAGGCTCCCGACCCTTGGAGGAGGTGGTAACTTGTATGCCACTTGCAGAGGATGGTCTCACGCAAGTGACAGCCACCTCTCCTGTAGTTCTCTTTGGGTTTGGCGGTTTGGCCCCTTGGAACTTTCATTGTTACTGTTCCCAGTGTTGCTAGGGGGTTTCCCCACAGCTTCACCGGTGATGTTTTTATTACTATTATTACCAGATCTCATAGTGTTCCCATGAGTCGCTAGAGACAGTCGGTCCACTTCTACAGAGCCCCGCATGTAGAAGTAAGGGGTAAAATACAATGGAGTGCCCCCCGATGCCCCAAGGTTGAGGCTGTCCGTAGCCCCGCCCGGTATCGTTATATGTCTTGGTGCAATTCCCTGGCCACGACACTACAGTCAGGGACAAGACGATGAGTGAGATGCTTCTTAGACCAACCCAAGTGCTAGGGGGGATTCCCCCCAGCACCTGATCAGGAGCTTCCCCACCAACGACAAGGTCTTGCATCTCCTAGGGGAAGAATTTAGTATGAACTAAGAACACGGTATATCGCTAGTGTCAGATGTGCTCAAGTCGTGATTGTAGAAAAGTATTTTAATTTCTAGAATGCTCTTGAGGCGCTGCTAATCCTGTGCTGAATTTCAGAGTCGATATTGGCCTTTTCCGAAATCAAACTTGTGATTTTCCAGGGGAGTGCACATGATTTTAGTTTTGTCGATGTTCAGCTTAAGGCCCAAAGCCTCGTATGCTCAGGTATATGTGTCCAACATTTCTTGTAGCTGATGTAACGTTTTTGCAACTATAGCCCAGTCATCAGCGTATTGAAGGTCTGTGATGAATTTTGTACGTGTTTTTGCCCTGAGTCTTTTTATGTTGAACAGACCGCCGTCGTATCTGTATCTTATGCTCAATCCTCTTTCCTGCAGTTTGGTGTCCATTATAATGGAGAGCGCTGCCATGAATATGTTGGTTTTGGAATATGTTGAGTTGAATAGGAGAGGCGCTAAGACACATCCTTGCCTAACTCCTGTATTTGTTAGGAAGGGATCGCTCAGTGATCCATTATGGTGAGACTCTTGACTTTTTGTTATGGTGGTTTTTACACACTGTAGGAAATTAGTTGAGTACTTCGAACTTTTTCGTAATTGCTCAAAGTGCATCTCTGTCTACAGAGTCGAAGGTTTTTGTTAGGTCGATGAATGCAACATAAATTTGATTAAAATATGTATGTCGCGCTTATAGTAATTTTTACCCCCAAATTTCATCCACATCGCTAAAAGTACTTTGAATAAAATTCTAAATTATAATAAATCCAAAAAAGATAAAGAATTTAACCCCCTGTAGCTACGAAACTTATTTTTGCGACAGCAATCTCCCCACAAGAGATGACACATGTTTTTTAAACACCTTGTATATTTTCTGGGGCATACTTTAGACGCCAGCGATGAACTCTTTCACTTGAACTCACAAGGTCTTTATCTATAACATATATTTTTAATCCGTGTGTTCGCTATATAAAGAAAATCCTCAAGGCCTGGGCACTGTTATATATAAAAGTGCGCACAGCGTTGCCAATTTTATATATAACAGTTATTATTTACATCAACAAAACTCACCTTCTTAACAGCACTTAAGGGACATAGAGGGCCATTACTACCGCTTTGCCGTCCAAAATATTCTAATAAAGTTGCGATGAGTTTTTTACGGCTATTAAGCTATCTTGTACATTTCGCACTAAAAGAGGTTCTAGAAAGAACAATGTTCGATTGCAAGATCTACTAGTAAACATGTTTTAGCTTAAAGTATCACAACACTATTTATTTAAACCAAAGACTACTAATACCAAACTAAAGTGTCAAAACGAATGTCAATGTGAGGAAATAAATAAACAAATGCGACAACTTGATATTTTTACAGCAGAGCTACCACCTGAATCCCCAGCGCGAAGTTTAAATTCCAGTTAGTCAGCACGGCGCGGCGCCAAATATGTCCATGGTTGACAACAATGAATTTAAAAATCGTGCCCTCGATTACGTAAATATAAGTTTAATTGATATCAAATAGAGGGTGGCCCATCGAAAACGTTCCGCAAGGCATAACGGCCAGGGTATTTATTTTCAAAAAATCCAAAAACACGTCAATTTTGTTTGAGAGGGGAACAACTTTTGCCCCAAAAATGATTGCAAAATCTTCAACCTTCTAAACGGAGCTGACATCCCCTAACTTTTTTCAAATTGGAAGGGGGTCCCGGAATGAAAAGAGTTTTCTATTCTCTATATTTCCCCGCTTCGTTTTTGAAAATCGGTCGAGTCATTGAGAAAATATGAAGGATTGAAATTTAAAAAGATTATTTAAACATTTATCAGAGTAAATGATAAGGATAAATTCCTTCGACCAATCTGCTGTTTTTTCTTATTATTTATAGATGTTTACGCATTTTTTCACTTGCCACAAGGGTGAACGATCAGGTGCAGTAGTTGCTAGATAGCTGTTCTGTGACTTGTGCGTTGAAGTTCTTCTCAATATCATTAAACTGACCTACAATAGGATTTCCAAAAATACCAACCCACACGTTCAATTCCTGAGGGTTTTGTGTGTGCACCTCGTGAAAACCCCTGGGGTTGTCCTCAGCCCAGTACCGACAATTGTGCCGATTAACTACACCGTTCAGAAAGAAAGTACACTCATCCGAAAAACACACATTAAATAGAAAATTATTATCATTCGCCACTCGTTCACTCATAGTTTCACAAAATTGCAAGCGACGATCAAAATCGTGTTCGTTGAGTTCTTGTACCGACTGAATTTTGTACGGGTGGAACTTGTGTTTTTTTAATATCCTTTGGACACTTGTACGATTCACGCCGGTCTCATTGGCTAATTTTCTTGTACTCAGCGTACTATCCATGGCAACTTGGCCCAATACGAATACCTCCATAGCTCCATTTACTACAGGATTTTTCCTCTACCTCTTTTTATTCATAACGGAACCAGTTTCGCGAATATTTGCTACTAACTAGCGAACAATTTTACCATAAAGGTGTTTGTCAAGATAGCATTCATTTAATATCTACGCAACCCGATACATTCATTATTTTTAAAATAAAGTTCGATTATTTCCACTTTTTATGCAAGTGAGTACACGATAATTGTTAAAAAGTTTAACAATATTGAGAATATTAAGAACTTCAACACACAAGTCACAGAACAGCTATCTAGCAACTACCGCACCTGATCGTTCAACCTTGTTGCAAGTGAAAAAATGCGTAAACATCTAGAAATAATAAGAAAAGACAGCAAATTGGTCGAAGGAATTTATCCTTATCATTTACTCTGATAAATGTTTAAATAAACTTTTCAAATTTCAATCCTTGATATTTTCTCAATGACTCGACCGATTTTCAAAAACGAAACGGGAAAGTATAGAGAATAGAAAGCCCTTTTCATTGCGGTACCACTTGACCCCCTTCCCATTGAAAAAAATTGACGGGTGACACCCCCGCTTAGAGGGTTGAAGATTTTGCTATCATTTTTGGGGTAAAAGTTGTGCCCTTCACAAACAAAATTGACATGTTTTTGAATTTTCTGAAAAAAATTACCCTAGCCGTTATGCTTTGCGGAACGTTTTCGATGGGTCATCCTGTATATGTATTTTAGTTATTAGAACAAAAACTAAAAAAGATATAGATTAGAAATTAGATTAGTATAATATTTTCGTTTTCTTCTAGGTACACCTGAACCACAAGTATCTTGGTTTTTGAACGGTTTTTCGGTGCTAAAAGATGCAGCGGTTGAAGCCATAGGAAACAGAATTTATTTTAGACCTGTTGAGAAGCGACACGCAGGAAACTTACAAATATTCGCCAGGAATGTTGTTAAGACTGTTTACAAAAGTATTATTGTCAGGGTCATTCCTTTATCTAGCAGCATAGATGATATTCCGGCTCCTGTGTATACCCATCCCAAACATCATCATCGGTAAGTATAATAAAGATATACAGGGTGTATCCACCCTCGTCATAGAGATGTCTGAGATTTTGCTGGGCACTGCGTAATATCGGACTCCTTTTGTCTCACAAATTTGCCCATGACATTATGTCTTTTTTTCTTTAATTCAGTCCATGCTGACTGAATTATATTTTTATATAGTTAAGGCTTTATGTTCTTTAGTTAACTTTCACCGTTAAAGCCTGGTTGACACGGTACAAGTGTGCTTGGATCAAGTACGCTTGGATGTCGCTTCCCAAGTAGCATTTTTGGACACATTTTAGGTAATGTTTCTAATAATTGTGTCTCTTTCTTGATACAAAATGGAAACGGTATGCCACAAATAGGAAACATTTTTGAAACCTGTATATTTTATATGGCTTTATCATATGTGTTTCCAATGTGGTGGCACTAGCCGGTTCCTGAAATGTTTCGATGCGGAATAATAAATTTTAGAGGATATGTTTCGAAACATTTTCTGCAATTTGTATCCAAGATGTTCCTGTTTTCAGCAGCCACTGTTTCTAAATGTGAAGAAACAAAATACCAAACTAAAATAGTCTATGTCTGTGTGTGGATTTCAAAATGAAAACAACCATCAACAATGTCGACATCCGCCATATTTTTTTTGTCATAAAATCTTTGTTTTTAGGTTTTCTCGCACAAAAAATGTCTGGCAAAAGCAAATTCATCGTTTAATTTAATGTACTTTCATATTTTTAATGCCTCTTCTATATGTCATTGTTTGTTGCTACAAAATATTTTTGTGTCAAATATAGATTTTTATTTCTATATCATGGTTGTGAAAATAAAAATATGTAAATCAATGTAAGTAAAACGCGTTCTTATGAGTTTAAAAGCTCAACAGCCGATAAGACATATATTTTTAGTTAAAAACGCTATTACTAGATAACATGGCTGAATTCATTATTATATAAAATTGACATGGAGTCGGACACAAATCATATACATTATATCATATTTGTGTCTAAAAAGAGAGAAACTTGTGTTTCGAAAATGAATTGACAATAAATGGAAAGCTTGTTTCCAAAATGTTTCGATTTAGCGCTATCTGTGTACAAGGATACTATATAGAGATAAGGATAGTTCGATTCCTATCTTCCTGCACTGTCAGTTTTTTTACGTCATCTACTGACCGAGTTGAAGTTGTCGCTAAAGATTTTAGACAGTGACAGTTATTTTTGCATTTGATGGAGGAGCGCACAGTGCGTTGGAAGATAAATTTAGCGGGACAAAAGCGTTTGGTTAGAAATAAGCCAAAAAATGTGTACTGATAAGAATAAATAGTAGACATTCCAATTGATACAAAAATGCATGAATATTTTTTTGTATTTCGATACATTTTTATCAACCAAATTTGGTCGTTTTCTGCTCAGCAAGGCAGAGATCATACGAAAACAAAATATTTACAAGTGCTTATACATTTTAGCAGAAAGCCAAATTATGTTGAAGATTGCCAAAGGTATGTACTTTTCTACTGTACGTATATTATTTGTTAAAATCCTTCGTGCCTTTGTTCTGCAGATATCAAACTTTCACTTTTTTTTTCGATATTGAATGATGTAGATCTTTTGAGTTACCAATAGTTACCAACACAGGTAGTCACAGTCACAGGGTGTTCAAGCTTAACAGGTGAATGCCCAAAAAGATTCATTTCAATCGGATAGTATAAAAACAAAACAACTCCATCAAAAGGCACTGAGTTTAAAAAATTTTCTTAGATACTTACTATATATGAATTTACAATTACCGAGTGTTAAAATTAAAATTAAAATATCTATCTTATTTATTGTTTTCAAAATAAAATATATTTTTTTAAAATAAATTATAGAGGGTGTCACAAGATTACAAATTAATTAAAAAAAAAACTGCTAAAGAGATTTTTGATATCATAATTTTATGTATTTAGCAATAGTTTACTATACGGTTTTTGTGTGTCATGTACGAATAATATCATAGTTTTATTATCTTGTATTTATTTATTAATAAATTAAGTTGTTAATAAATAAATAAATTTAACCATATAGTTGCTATATATTAGACCATTTGCTACGTTCTTAGATTTTAAGTCCAAACATTGCTCTTGAGATTTTGTCCCGCTAGAATAACCATCCGCCGCACTGTGGAGCGCTGGTCAGCGCGTGACGTAGCATTCCACGGCGACTACGACAGCGGCTGTGACAGCGGCGATTTGACGCGATCGAACAGTCCTTTAGAATATATACAGTCCTTGATCTGTGTAGAAATTTCGAACTAGTCACCTGTGAACAACGCCTGACAACGCCAATCAAAACTTCTGGTCAAAATAATTAAAACATTTTTATTTACTTATTATAACACAATTAAAACATAAAAACATGTACTCCATTATGGAAAAAAGAGAAAAAAAAACTTTTGCTGGTAAGATTTTTCTTCGGTCTCCTGTTGGGTATGGTAACTGTTATTACATTTATTCCTAAAACAAATTTCTAATGCGTATAATAAATATATATAAAATCGCATAAGAAAAATATCTGTATTTGTATTCATCATGTCCTTCCTTCTGCTTTTTTAACTATAAAAACTTGAAGAAGGCTTAAATGCAAAAATTGCAGAACAAAATTCAAACAATTAAAGTAAGGTTATGTTCTCATATTATATACAATATCAAATAAATTATGGAAACTTTTCAGGCACCAAACGGGTACAAAATCTGTAAATGTGTGCCACATCTGTTTCTTAAAAGTTTCGAAAAATTAGTGACACTAAGATCTTTGTTGTTATAGCTTATGTAGCGCAACCATATTTTGGTAAAATGTTTCGAAATAAAAAGCGATTTATGTTACGAAACATATGTATCAAGAATGTGACGAAACTGTTTCGCAATGTTTCTCAGCAAAGATTTTGTTTTGATTTTGTAATCTAAATGCTACTTGATTTAAATCGTATCAACCGACTGAAAATTTTAAATCCGTTAATGTACCGTGTCAACCGGGCTTTAATCTAGTTAGCACTATTTCTAGTTAAAATATCTGGTGCATGAGAACATTGCTTTTAGGAAACCTCCAAATACTAGAAAACCTCATAAGATGACTCCACCTAGTAGACCCATTATCACTCGCCTGGATGACGAGACAGTGATGGTGAGATGGAGTGTACCGAATAATAACGGCTTAGCCATACAGTTCTTTAAAGTGCAATACAAAGAAATTGGTCCAGCTAATCACAAGGATACTTATAATACTAAAGGTAAATGTTTATACAATAATTATAGTGTTTTTTTTTCAAACATCACAAAAGTATTACAACGACTACTACAACTGCATAGTTTACACGTAACTAACTTGTTTAACAATAAAGTTTTCGGAGTCACGTGTACAGGGTGGGTCAAATTGGACGCTGTTAAAGGGACACACCCTTTTCTATAGGAGACGAAAACTAATATCGGTGTCTGGAGCTCAATTTTTATCAAAAACATGATGGTGAAAACCGCACATCGATATCGGTTACCGTTTCGGAGTTACGGGGTGTTTTTCAAAAATGTGCATTTTTAACAAATCAGTGTAACTTTGTTGCTATGGAAAATTTTGTATTTCTATGAAAACATTTTCAAAACACTTTTATACGTATTTTTTTTGAAAAATTTGGTACCATTTAGTTGGTATTTCGAATCAAATTGTGGTTATGAACCGCATTTTACAATTTCAGATAAACTATATGCGAAAATGTCAAAATTTGACATATGATATGTCATTCTATTCAGAGTGCCATTTTCTATCAAGTAAAGTAAAAATACCGAGGGTGCCAAAAGTTGTAGTAATCTCTGGTGAAACAGAAACTGGCCAAAAACAATTGAATACCTACGTCAATCCTGATTTATGTCATATACTCACGTATCAAATCTCGTTTTTATCTGAAAAATATAGGAGTTATAGGAATGAGCCACTTTTGAGAAACACCCGGTATAGAGGGTCAAAATTGCTTGGTAATAGGGTCGAAACTAGATATAATGTTGTTTTTCCTGATATTTAAAATGAAGCACCTTGTAGTTTATAAAAAAAGAGAGAATTTTTCATTATATAATTAGACTTGTGTCGAAGAAAAAAATTGCGAAAATGTAGGTGTTTTACTTTGTAAGTATCCCAAACCCGTATAATCGAAAAAAAATCATATATGATGATCCATAACATTCCTTATATAATAATTTTACATATAAAATTTAATCGATTGTGATTTCTAAGGTAATTTGACGCCATTTTTAGGATCAGATGGTATATGTGTATTTATCATTAACCTTTCTATTTTCCATTTTTTAATAAAGACTTTTTTTAACTTAATTAATTTTTATATTACATACAGATATGAGGGAGGCAATTTAAAAATTTGCACCAGGCCACAGTGGTTCTCCTTAATTAGCTGTGCGGTCATAACTGTTAGATATCTAGATATAGCTTGACTGCACCTTTTTTAATAGAAATTGATAATAAATGGGCGGCAAAAAGTCTAGCGACGGCCCTGTGTGTAGACAGAACTTTAATCGCTTATATCACCCCACTATCAATCTCTTATATCACCTTTATTTTAGGCTCCGTTTGGAATACAGCTAACACGGACGTGAGACCGAACATAAAATCGTTCGACATTCGAGGCCTCAAACCCGACTACATCTATAAGTTTCGGGTGGCCGCCGTGTACAGCAACGACGACTCAAAAATGAGCCCCACATCGAAGAAGTTTCACTTGCGTAGGCTCGACTTTGACGAGAAAAATCCCCTTCCGGTGTGCCCCATAACGTATGTGCAAACCCTCAATCATACCGCTGTGAAGATATACTGGGAGGTAAGTGAATTTTGTCTACCAATTATCACCGTGACTTACGTGACGTAGAGTCTAGATACACCGCGACCTTATACAGGGTTGTTCACCACATACGACACGGAGTATTGAAGCTAAACGATGAGATTTTTACAAATCGTAAGTTTTGGGTTCGATGAAGGACTATTAGAGGTACAATCTAAAAATAATTTTACAAGGTACAGAGTGTCCCAAATAAGTAAAAAATATCAAAGTTGTATTTTTTTAAATAGGACACCCTGTATATTATTACATTTTTAGTTTCTACGATTAAAATAAATGTAAATTTGATTAAGGTTTATTACACTTAAACCTTGCCGTTTTTGAAATATTTTCAATTTTGTGAAATTGCAGTAAAAATTTTAAGGCTTCATTTCTCCAAGGGTATCAAAGTTTTTAATACTAAATATTTACTGAAGTTTATTTATTGATCAGTAATTCTGTTGCAATAATAAAAATTTTTGTCTAAAAATTTATTTTAAATAAGTATTAGCTTTAAACGGCAATAACTTGTTTAATTTAAATGGAACACCCTGTACAATTTAATTGTCTATCAAATAGTATTATACCATTTTTTACCTATCTCTTTAAGTTTCCGTAGAAAATGCATTTTCTTGTAATTTAGAACTTATTTATCAATATACCCATGGAATATTGACATTTTAGATTATTTTTAAAGATGTACCAAATTTTTAAAGAGTACAGATACTAATATTGTCGATATAATTCGTTTATTTCATTAAAAAATAAAAAAATAACTGTTTAAATATTTGTTAAAGAGGACCAATTAATATGATTCCAGTATTCAGACTACATTAACTGACTGTTTGCGTTGATCAATAATAATTGACCCAAATACTAAAAAACTTAGTTAGAGTTTTGTATGTGTATTAGTCAGTGTGGTAAAAAGTAACACCTTAAAATTGATATTTCATTTTTTAATAAACGCTTATTTATAACAACAGAGACGTTCATTTTGATAACTTATTATTATATTGATTTCTGACTCAAATTCACATTTATTTAGCATAATTTATTAACGAACACAATGAAGTATGTAATTAATTAGTATATGGACCGAAATAATTGTGTTATATTTAATTAATGATATACTCTTTTATAAAGATTTAAATAGTTTTCTTTTTGCATACAAATGGGCTGGTAATATTATAGCCTAAAAACGATAATATTACTAGCCTGTAGATTTTGTACATTTGTTGCTTTAAAAACAATCTAAAATGTCAATATTCCATGGGTATATTGATAAATGAGGTCTAAATTATAAAAAAATGCATTTTCTATGAAAACTTGAAGGGATAGGTAAAAGATGGTATAATACAATTTGATAGACAATTAAATTGTGCATCTGATTCTCCTAAAATATACAGGACGTTCCATTTAAATTAAAGAAGTTATTGGCGTTTAAAGCTAGAAATTATTTAAAACAAATTTTTAGACACTCTGTATAAGGTAGTATTATTTTTATTATTGCAACACAATAACTGATCAATAAATAAACTTCAGTAAATATTTAGTATTAAAAACTTTGATACCCTTGGAGAAATGAAGCCTTAAATTTTTTAATGCAATTTCACAAAATTGGAAATATTTCAAAAACGGTAAGGTTTAAGTATAATAAACCTTAATCAAATTTACCTTTATTTTAATCGTAGAAACTAAAAATGTAATAATATACAAGGTGTTCCATATAAAAAATACAACTTTGATATTTTTTACTTATTTGGGACACTCTGTATCTTGTAAAATTATTTTTAAATTGTACCTCTAATAGTCCTTCATCGAACCCAAAACTTACAATTTGTAAAAATCTAATCGTTTAGCTACAATACTCCGTGTCGTATGTGGTGAACAACCCTGTAGATCTATTTTGTCCTCCTTTCTTGAGTTATAACTCATCATACAGTCTCAGGGCTTTGACAAAGGTTAGTATCTAAGACGGTTTCCTGAGAAATTTATTTGAATATCTTAGACCGTTAGAGGATTCCCATTCCAGGTTACGGATGGAGTCTTCCAGATTCTTGAGTTCTGCTTTAAGTTGGTTTCCTCTTGGGAAGCAGAACGGTTCTGATCCAGGTTGTGGAGTGTTCGCTTGGTGGGTTGGCACCGAAAGTAGGAGGACTTTATTTTCTTTGTCTAATTTGTTCATCTTCTCTAAGCATTCTTTGACCAACTTCGACTTGATGGTACTAAGTTGATCGCTCTTAAGGCTGCTTGACTATCGAATAAGATGGCTATTTCTTGTTTCCTATAGTTCCTATCTGAGATGTACGCATCTTTCGATAGAGTAGATTTAGAGTAGATTGCCTGAAGGACGCTGAGCTAGATGCCCATTCATTCGGAGTATTTAATTTTCGGTCCAAATACTCCTATTCCTGTTCCAGCTTTGGTTTTGGAGACGTCGGTATTAAAAATAAAAATAAAAAACCATACCATAGAATTTTTAGAATTTAGAATAAGTGGGAGGGGGGTTAATCTCTGCGACCTTAGAGATCTATTGTGTCCCCCTTTCTTGAGTTATAACTCATCATACAGTCCCAGGACTTCCTACGGAGACCCGTGTCCTTCACAGTCGAGGAGCTATGACCCAGGCCGGGTAGACGAAACGGTAGCTTGTGTCGCCTGTTGGGTTTAGAGGTAGGAGGTAGGCTCCCGACCCTTGGAGGAGGTGGTAGCTTGTATGCCACTTGCGGAGGATGGTCTCACGCAAGTGTCAGCCACCTCTCCTGTAGTTCTCTTTGGGTTTGGCCCCTTGGAACTTTCATTGTTACTGTTCCCAGTGTCGCTAGGGGGTTTCCCCACAGCTTCACCGGTGATGTTTTTATTACTATTATTACCAGATCTCATAGTGTTCCTATGAGTCGCTAGGGACAGTCGGTCCACTTCTACAGAGCCCCGCAGTAGAAGTAAGGGGTAAATACAATGGGGTGCCCCCCGATGCCCCAAGGTTGAGGCTGTCCGTAGCCCCGCCCGGTATCGTTATATGTCTTGGTGCAATTCCCTGGCCACGACACTACAGTCAGGGACAAGACGATGAGTGAGATGCTTCTTAGACCAAGCCAAGTGCTAGGGGGATTCCCCCCAGCACCTGACCAGGAGCTTCCCCACCAACGACAAGGTCTTGCATCTCCTAGGGTAAGAACCATACCATAACGTGGTACTGTTATTTATGGTCTGGTGGTAGAAGGTATAGTTTACTAAGAGTGGGCCCCAGATGGTCCTAAAATAACCTGGTGACTTTTTTGAACAAAAACCAAATTATCGAACTATTTGAATAGATATAACAAAACTAATTTTCTCATTGCTACTTTTTTACTTCTACTTTTGTATCGTCTTTGACCTGCCATCACCAATTATCTTTTTTCAAATACGGCCCTAGATTTCTTATTAAAGATTTCGGTGTCGTTAAATATTGAGATATGATTAAAAATATGATTTAGGCATGTTTTAACTTAACCGGCCAGGACCAGACACGAAAATCCTTAGACGATAAAATCTATTTATCCAAGGCTCTTGATTAAAAATTAGTATTTTTAACATAGCCATTGCACTCTAGATTGAAATTTAAAATACGATTATTTTTAACTGAAAATGTCAAAAGTTGACATATGATATGTCATTCTATTCAGAGTGTCATTTTCTATCGAACAAAGTAAAAATATACCGAGGGTGCCATTTAAAAATCAAAAGTTGTAGTAATCTCTGGTGAAAGAGAAACTGACCAAAACAATTGAATACGTCAATCAACCCTAATTTATGTCATATACTAACATACCAAATCTTGTTTTTTATCTGAAAAAAATAAAAAAAGTTATAGAGGTGAGTCACCTTTGAGACACACCCGGTATTTCTTGATAATATAGCAACATAGGTAGTAGATTAAATTTACAAGAAAGAAAACCCAAAAAAGATAGTGGTTCTCAAAATTTAAGCAAAAAATTATTTTTTTTTTGAATTTTTCAAAGAAAAATAACTGGGTTATTTTGGACTTTGCAGAGAAAATATGTTTCTTTTATCGAGATCTACCATCCCTGAAAATATTTGCACTTATTTAAGACTCACCCTGTATAACGGTAAATAATCTCATTTTTCGTTCTATATTTTAGTGTCCCAAATATAATGTGTCGATCGATGGCTTTTACATAAGCTACCTGACGGCGACGCAAGCAGGTGACGATTATATGAAGAGTACCGTGGAAGGCGAGAGTACCAGAAGTTACATCATTAACTACTTACAGCCTGAAACCAGTTACGACATCAAGTTGCAAAGCTTTAATTCCAAGCTGGCTAGCGAATTTAGCCCTTTGATGAAAGGAAAAACGGGAGGTAAGTTGATATTATCTTTGGTTGAAAGCGATTCCTTCGAAATAATCCCCGATATGATTTAGTTTATAAAAAATGTGGCGGATTCATCTCTCCAAAAAAATCCTATATGGGTATTTCGCCACTGCACTACAAGAAAATCTACAAAATTAAATAGTTATTTTTTGTAAACACTTCTGTGTTAAACATAAACGGACATTGCTTGTCAGAAGTTATGTTTACAATTATACAAATTTGCCTAACAAAGACAAAATTGCTTAACGTTTCGGAAAGTTTATCTCTTTCCGTCGTCGGAAGCAAAAAAAATACAAAGAATAAAGAAAACAACTATTTAAAATATTTAAATTCAACTATTCGAGAACACTTTACTTTTTTAAAACAGATACGTCTACAAGAAACCGTTGACGTTCTGTTAAAATGACATTATATCACGTTAAACTTCAAAATTAACAATTACTACCTGATAACAATTATTTAATAAGGTAAAACCAAAAAGCCCCAAACTTTCTGTATGATTATTTTTAAATGTTACGTATGTTATGTTTATTTATGTTATGTTCTTTAAAATCAAAGAAGCGATTGCCATACATTACTAACATCTACAGATGCATGAGCAATACATTTATTTTTATTAGATTGAATTAAAAAAGCCTCTTTTATTTTTCTTTTATAGGCTATCGCTTCTTTCATTATAATTTTGGCATTATTAAAATTTATTCTGTGCCCTGTGTCCCATGAATGCTGACAAATTTCAACACATAAAAGGATTTTTTTGAAGAGATTTAGTTTATGTACTGTTTAAAATCAACAGTCATTTATAAAGTAAAATTAATTTTCAGCTAGTCCGATAACTGCTCCTACCACTGTGCAGATAACTCCGAATCATACGAAGAAGTCCGCTACTGAACACAGCTCAGTGGATAATCAACTCTACATTGTCATTGTGGGAGTTGTTATTGTATGTGCCATAATCATCACAGCCATAGTACTGTTGTTTGTGTGCAGGAAATGGAAGAGAAAGAAATTGACAGGTTAGTAATTTCTACTTTACCCAACGAAGTTTCGAAATATTTCTTAAAAAATTGGAATATTCGTTATTAACCCCTTTCTCACTACAATAATAAATTACAACGATATCCTAGAATTCATACCAATTAAACTTTTAGTCACGTGATTAAGCTTGGCCGGCACAGCGTGGCCCACTTTTACATATTTTCTTTTAATCAAAATATTTTAGAAAACAAAAATAAATCTATACTAATATATCACGATCCTGCTCAAACCACTCAACGTAAGAAGCTCAATTTTGGCGCTACAGGTTGATTCTAGGGTGTAGAGGTTCGATAAGAAGGGATCTTTCGAAATTCCAGTTCAAAGAGGGTGAAACCACCCCTCAAATATTACAATATTTTTTATTTAAAAAACGGTAAAGTTTCCGAAAAAACGCTTAAACACGTATATTTTATTTTGTTTTTTTACATATTTTAAGATTTTTTAAAAATGTATACAGGGTGTTTCGAAAAATCTGGCTATTGATTAATCACGATCCTGATCAAAGCGCTTGACGTAAGAGGCTGATTTTTGGAAAACGGATTGACTTTAGGGTGTAGAGATTCGATAAGACGGGATTTTTCGAAACTCGAATTCTGAGGGGATGAAACCACACCTCAAATATTAGAATATTTTTTATTTAAAAACCGGTGAGTTTTTTCGGAAAAAACTCTTAAACACGTATATTTTATTTTGTTGTTTTACATATTTTAAGATTTTTTAAAAATTTATACAGGGTGTTTCATAAATTATGACCATTGAGTAATCACGATTCTGCTTAAACTGCTTGTCGTTTAAAGTTGATTTTTGGCAAACGGATTAACTGTGGGGTGTAGAGGTTCGATTTATTTATTTAGCGTATGGCGTACATGGATTTAATTACAACATCAAATGTATATATTCAAACACAATATAACATGTAAACAGATTGTCACAAATTGTAAAAATAAAACTAGATATTTAAAAAGTTATACACAAAACATATTACAAAAAGTACACTTAAATTTTAAAATCTAGGCTATTGATCCAGTTCAACACGGTGTCTGTGGCTTCAAAGAAATCACTCGCTTCTTCTCCATATGCTGTAAGAGGGCATTCAGTTACAATGTGATGAACAGTTTGACGTGGTTCTCCGCAGTCACAAGTCGGTGATCCGGTCAGTCCCCATTTATAAAAAGAATCACGACATATGCCATGAGTCGTTCTTACCCTGTTGAGTACCTTCCACTCGTGGCGGGGCTGCTCCATCCCTGGTAGAGCTGCTGTAGGGTCGATGACATACGCTGCTTGATCTGGTTTCAAAGAGTCCCAGTACTCCCTCCATTTATCATTTATACTGAAGTTTTCTCCCAAAAGTTGTTCTGCTAATAGTAGTGCGGGGGATCTAGACTTCAGTCTTCGCAGACGGGCATCTGACAAGTCGTTGTGGACTGGAAGATGGGGATTTGATAATATTTTCTGATATTCCTTAATAGAGGTTCGATAAGGAGGGGTTTCTCGAATTTCAAATTCCAAGAGGGTGAAAACGCCCCTCAAATATTACAATATTTATTATTTAAAAAACGGTTTGGTTAGTCTTTCGGGAAAACGCTTGGACACGCGTAATTTATTTTGTTTTTTTTTTAATATTTTGAAATTTTTAATAGAAATCATATAGGGTGTTCCAAAAAGTTAGGTAATTGACTAACCACGATTCTGCTTAAACTACTTGACGTAAAAAGCTTATTTTTGGCAAACGGATTTTTCGAAAATCAAATTCCAACGAAATGAAACTACCCCTCAAATATTACCAAGTTATATAATAATATCGCTATATTGTTTTTTCTCATGCTAACATAAATGTGAGAAAATTTTATCCAGTTTGTATGTTAATGGAAATTCTTGCTTTGCTTTATCATCACCATTACAAATGATTAATTCGACGCGTACGAAGTCGCGGGTACACGCTAGTTAATTATAAATATATAAACAGTTATTATTTACATCAAAAAAACTCACATTCTTAACAGTACTTAAGTGACATAAAGGGCCATTACTACCCCTTTCCCGTTCAAGATATTCCAATAAGGTTGCGATGAGTTTTTTGCAGCGCCTATTAAGGTATCTTGTACACTTCGCACTAAAAAAGGTTCTAAAAAGAACAATGTTCGACTGCAAGGTCTGCTAGTAAAAATTTATAAGCTTAAAATATCAGAACACAAATCATTTAAACCAAAATACAAAACTAAAGTGTCAAAACGAATGACAATGTCAGGAAATAAATAAATAAATGTGGCAACTTGACATTTTTTACAGCAAAGCTACCACCTGAATCCCCAGCGGGAAATTTAAATTTCAGTTAGTACACCCGGCGCCGAATATGTCCATGGTTGGCAACGATAAATTTAAAAACCGCGTCCTCGATTACATAACTAAAAATTTAATTAATATCGCTTATAAAACGTTTCAATTTTACAGATACTCGAGATAAACCTTCCTCAGATCATCATATTCAGTCTGATGTAGATGCCAAAACTATATCTCGATCGAATGGATGCGTTCTGCCAGGAAACAAAATTACTATCACATCGAATCCTCTGGCAGATGCTGAAAATAAGGTGAGATTTATCATATACGTACCTACAGGCTAATCTGAACTGTTTCGTCATTTATGTTGATTGCTTTACAGAAGATATCCATAGATGTATATCTAGTTATTCTTTAGAACTATTGCATGAACCAGCAATTGTACAGGGTCCGGCAATAATGCGTCGGGCATCTGTAGCTCCTAAAATAAAAAAAATTATCAATTTTGTTTAAGTGCATACCTAAAATATGTACTAAGTTGTATTTCAGGAAAATATTTTAACTTCTACAGGGTGGCTCAAAAAAGTGTGAGCAGACCGGGATGATTTTTTTTAAATGGAACACCCTGTATATACATTTTTGGCTTCCTTTCAGATCACTTTACATAATCCTAAGATATGAGTAGATATATTTCGATAGTTTCAGAGATATTAATAAATAAATAAAAGATATGTATTTTTCAGCCTTTCTTAAAAAAAATATTAAAAATACAAGAACTGTCCTGAAATCAAAAATATATTGTGTATTTACATTAGATGGTCTACACTTACTTTGCTATAAATATCGTAATCTTAAATCATACAGGGTGATTCATCCCCGTCCACTCACACTTTTTTGAGCCACCTGTAGAAGTTAAAATATTTTCCTGAAATATATCCTAATATATACTTTAGGTCAGCACTTAAAAAAAGTCCAACTTTTTTATTCTAAGAGGTACAGATGCCCGACGCACTATTGCCGAACCCTGTATAACAAGTTTGGAAAAATATATTATTTCGCCTGCCTTCTTGCATGTAGTAGCCTTTATATCATTACTTAAATATATGAAATCTTCAACAAACACTGTTACAATTTTGTATATCATTGTACAATGTTTATTTATTTGCAACAATTTCTCAATAAAAAAAATTGTATGTGCACTACGTGCGCATATTTGAAGTGAAACTTCTTCTTACTTCCGTATGTCTGTCTGTCCGTCTGAGGATTCGATTATGGATTCCACATGCCGAGTTTTGTCCCAATCGAGCCATAATTAAGAAAAATCCTGATGATTTCGTCCATTTAGAGGCATCGCACAGACGGGTATTTTACCACTCTAGCTGGCCAAAAGTCGATTATAAAAAGTATAAAATGTACCAAAAAAAATTATCAGACGGCTTCGACAAATGAACAGAGATCACTTTTTTATGAGTTTTGCTAATGAGAAAATAAATTTAGTTTCCCCTTATCAACGTAAACTTCGTCTTTGTGTCGAGTATATTTAGCGATTTTTATTTGAATTTAAGTTCATATACAGGGTGTTTCAAAACAAATGCGAAAAACTTCAGGGGGTGATTCCTTGTTCAAAATAAAGGGTAGTTTGCTTCATAAATGTTGGGTCAAAAGTCAACCATTAGGGAGATATCGCGGTACAAAGATGGCGGAAAAATAATGTTTTTATTTTTTATCTTGAAAACGAAAAGAGATAGACTAATGAAATTTTATGGAACCATTACTGTTATGAAAACACACTTTCTGGTAATTTTTTCATTTTTTTTAAATGAGTGGAAGGGGTTGAAATAAACTGCCCCTATCATTCTAGTTAACAAAATTTAAAGAAAAATCTTCTCAAACACATGCAAAAAAAATAATTTGGATAGCTTAGTTTGTTTAGAAACATTTTTATCTCTTGTATTTTTTTGATAAAACTCACCGATTTGAAATTAAAAAATAAAATGTAAAGCATTACATGTCAGGACAAAAAACATTTTCTGATCAAGAATCTAGTGGGCTGCTGTAATTTTTTTAGGAAAAAATCTAGTTGGCCGCTGTTACTTTTTAGGATGTTCCTAATATTATTTTATTTGACATTACTCTACTGCAATACGTTATTATCTAGATGATTATTATTATCGTTATTATCACTAGATTCTTAATCTAAAAATGTTTTTTGTCCTGACATGTAATGCTTTACATTTTATTTTTTAATTTCAAATCGGTGAGTTTTATCAAAAAAATACAAGAGATAAAAATGTTTCTAAACAAACTAAGCTATCCAAATTATTTTTTTTGCATGTGTTTGAGAAGATTTTTCTTTAAATTTTGTTAACTAGAATGATAGGGGCAGTTTATTTCAACCCCTTCCACTCATTTAAAAAAAATGAAAAAATTACCAGAAAGTGTGTTTTCATAACAGTAATGGTTCCATAAAATTTCATTAGTCTATCTCTTTTCGTTTTCAAGATAAAAAATAAAAACATTATTTTTCCGCCATCTTTGTACCGCGATATCTCCCTAATGGTTGACTTTTGACCCAACGTTTATAAAGCAAACTACCTTTTATTTTGAATAAGGAATCACCCCCTGAAGTTTTTCGCATTTGTTTTGAAACACCCTGTATATTCCTTACGGTTTAGTGCTACGTATAGTGATACATATAATATAACACAGCTCTATTTATCCTGGAGATATTTTCAATATTTTTTATGCCTTAAACCGATCTTTGTTCATTGTTGAAATTTTCATCTATTTTTTTTTTTCGTTAAGATAATTAGTTTATTTCCGGGTACAATTATGGAATTAATTTTGTGGCAAAAATATTCTACAAGATTGTAGTTTCTGACAGTGAAAAAAACTATTCCACATATTTCCCCCTTTTCGAAGAAATTTATAAGAAAATTAAAAACTACAAAAACTTTGTTTTCAGAAATATTTTACAGTAATTATGGCTGTCAACAAAAAGCCGGAAACAGCTTCCTTGCCATATTGTTGTCATATTACCAAGACATCTAAATGTAATAGAGGCATGGTTACGTGATTGGAAAATAAAAATTAATCCATCAAAATCGGCCCAAGTAACTTTTACTTTAAATAGAGACCAGTGGCCTCCAGTACATTTAAACAACACACTAATTCCGCAGTCTTCCTCTACCAAGTATTTAGGCATGCACTTGGACACTAAGCTTACCTGGAAAGAACACATAGTAAAGAAACATAAGCAAATAGATTTAATTGGTTAATGGGAAGAAGATCCAAACTATCGCTAGAGAATAAACTTCTTTTATACAAAACCATAATAATACCTATTTGGACATATGGAGCAGAACTCTGGAGATGCGCTAGTGAATCAAATATCGCCATAATACAAAGGAGCCAATCTAAAATTCTACGGATGATAACAGACGCACCATGGTATGTCTCCAATGACACTATACATGAAGATTTAAAAATTCCGTACGTCAAAGAAGTCATCCAAACTCGCAGTAAAAAACATTTCATTAGACTACACAATCACACCAATACCTTACTTCAGCCTCTACTTGAACCAGCACCTACAAGAAGACTTAAAAGACAATGGCCATCTGATTTGAAAGAATATTAAGGATTTTTCACGTTAACTGGAGCGTCATTGCTCTCAAGTCATCAAATTAGCCCATAGAATTTCCTTGCAAATATTCTGATTGCTAATAAATCCATAATAAAAAAAAAATATTTTGTTTTAGTCTACAACATAGATTTTCTGTTACTTTAGGTTGCTCCAATGTAAAAGTGTTTACCCGATTGAAGCTGTATAACTTAATAAGAGAACAGAACTTACCAACTTTCAATGACAAATTGAACTATTTAGAAAATTATCTTCTATCCGTTGAATCATTTTCTGGTGAAGAAAAGCTTTTTATAAAACAAAAGTTTTCTCATTAAAAATTTGAATTTAAAAGGCGATGGGTGGCTGCTCATTACATAGAAGAAAGATTTTTGGAAAAAAATAACTTATGGAAGCAGATATGTATATCAAGGCGTCAATATGAAATTATTAGAAGTACAAACAAAAGGCTTTATCCCTGTTATAGTCTTTTGCAGCGTGCCAAGAAAAATTGTTACCCAAATAAAAGTGCATTTAGGGTAACCGAAACTTGTGCTGAAATTAGATTACAAGATCTAATGGATCATACAGTTTTACGATTACTCACTTATCTTGAGGACGTTTTGGAATTGCTAAGTAAACAAGAATGTACAAATCTAGTTTTGATATATAAATGGGGATGTGACGGATCCCAGCAGTCACAATTTAAACAAAAGTTTAGTTGCGAGGAAGATTCTGACTGTACTCCTATTGGCTTACACTGACTCGCGTCATATTCCTAGTCTGTCACGACCGACCCGTCCAAACACAACTGCAACTGCCTACTGCCTGACCAGCCGACTAGCCTGCAGTGACTCTCGAGTACGAACGCAAAACGGGTAAACGTAAATTCGTCCGGCAACTTGCTATGTTACTAGTAGTCTGGTCTTCTCTGTATGTGACTTGAACCAAAATGTGATTTGGCAAAATCCGACGCCATCGTCCCCTAGATTTTGTCGACCAATTAGAATTCGTTTTATAAAGGAGCCTTTTTCTTTAAATTAGCCTAATTTAGCATCAAGTTTCATATAACACCCAAAAACCCTATTTGATAATTTTGGCCAGCTAGAATGTTAAAATACCTGTATGTGCATCCTGTAGCCCGTCCTCAATTATGCCGAAATCGACCCACATTTTTTTTCAATATCAAATCGTGAACCCCATCCCAAAGAAGATGCAAACGAAACGTCGCTTCGTATCCAACTTTGCAGGGTGGGACCGTGTGCACTCTCGCTCGCATAGCCTACCCACCAAATTTTGTCGCGATCGGACGAGATGAACTTTTGACGTTTCTTACGTTTAAACTGTCACAGTGACATGTGTTGTACACGGTCAAGTTGGCCTTGGTCCAATCTATCGACATACTAAATTTCATTTAAATCGGACGATGTTTTGATTTGATTCATTAATGATGCGTTTCGTAGCGCACGAAACGTCGTCAAAATATCATGAAAAGATGGAACTCTTCGAGCTTCGAGCCTCATCTACATTCCGAGTTTCAGGCCCCAATCTCACATCGGGCTTGAGTTATGACGCTCTAAAGATCCATTAAATCGGAAGATTTTTTCGCTCCGTCTTAACCTCCGATGGTTACCACTTTTCCTGACGTGTCTCGTATGTCACGGCCTTCAATTTTTACTCCCATATGTA